ATTCAAATTTTGAATCTAATTATATTTTCTTTCAGTTATGCAGTTGTTATAAACCAGACTAAAATATTAAAAAAAATCAATTTACTCTTAAAATAAAATTTTTCTTTCACGTCAATATTGACACAACTTTTTTTATCGTTTTAACGGTTCGTTTTAACCTTATTAATAAAATAATTTATTACAATATTACACGAAATAATTTTTTAAAACGCTCTTTATCTACCACGCGATATCGCGAAATGAAATTGATTTGTTAGTTTGGGCCGATAAAGCAGATCGTATTATCATATAACTGTTTTTGCGGAAATTTTTTTTTCTCATGACAATAATATATTGTTTCTTGAAATAAACTTTAAAAACTAAAGTTGCTGCTAAAATAAGAAAATTTAACTTTGATTATACCTGCATAAATTACCACTCTTTAATGATATAATACTCGGCCAGGCAGACAATAAACGTCTAAGGACGAATTAGTACTTTCAGCCTTTGTCCTAATATATTTAGTAAAATTAAGAAAAAAAATAACTTATTGTTTATACTGATTTAGAGAATTTATTATTTATATCTTGTGTTAAAGTCACACAAGTTTATTATTTTAAGAAGAGGAAAACGTATATATTGATTTGCCATTTTTGCCGCCGACCTTGTGTTTTTCTGAGACCAAATATTTCCAAAAAAAGCTCCAGCATCAGGTCTTAGCTATTGATTGGCTAAATCGTAACAAACAGGATCGATCGATTTATTTTTGTGCAACTTGGATGCAATGGTGTTGGAAATGGGAAGAAAGCTTTGCGACATGATCGAAAGGTGTTTCTACTCTTACCACACGATGTCAAAAAGGCATACCACCTAACAGAAGTGAAATGAAGAAATTCCGTGACATTTTTTTGTTCTTTTTTTTTAAAGAAAAAAAGATTTTTCCATGAATATATCTTTCCCTTTGTCGAAAGGAACACTTTTTTTTTGAAGCGGCTCATTTCAGAACAGAAAGTCTGCATTGCATAGTGTTATTTCTTTGACGCAGAAAGAAAAATGTTTTAAAAAATATATGCGGAATTCTTATCTCTATTTTGCATGATATTTGTGTTAGGTTTGATGGGAGAACGTGGAAGTTTTACCAAAGATCTTTTGATGTACTTAAACTAAAATGAAGTTGGGAAATTCTCCTGGCTAAATAAGTAAAGGAATAAACATTTCCAGGAACTGTGTCAATTTTTGGTGAACTTAATTCAGTTTCCTTTTTACTATCTGGACACGTTCAACAATCATTTTATATAATTCACAACTGAAATTAATTATTTTTTTTAAGTCTTCTTTTTGCAAACTTGGCGTTAGGTAACAAATTTAGATTTTTCGAAAAAAATCACTTTAGATTGTTTGAATAAATCTCATTATTAATTTGACTATTTTTCATTAATGTAATGTTTTTTTTCTGAAAAAATGGTTAAATATCAATTTATTGAATTGTTGTTTTACCATATTCAAACAAAACAGCCAAATACCCATAAATAAGATGTTATTCAAACTGTTAACTGTGAGAAAACCTGCTTACTGACTGTTTTCATCTAATACGATTAAACAACCAGAATTTTATTGCACCAACTAGGCCCATCTAATAAAGCCACTTGGTTTCTTTCAGATAGGAACATGTTATAGCTGAGAGGGTTAATCTGTCAATCTCTTGACCGACAAAAGGGAGGTTTCAGTCCCAACGTTGACATCACAATATTTCCTCTATTCCTTCAACATATGAAGAGTTTCCAGTGTCTTACAATCCACAATTTGTGACCCTGGACTATTAGAATGTTATACTCTCATTCCCGCCTAGCTAGAAATCTACTTAATACAAAATCTAAATAAAATATTTACTTAATACAAATATAATATTACTCTAGTATTTCTTATGTCTTACGAGAGATGAAACAATCAGATAAACTAATTAAATCATATTCCTTGGTTCATTCGATCAAATACAATTCAACCACAGCCCAACTACAATGTTCAGTTAAATTTCGTTTTTACCGTAAAGGTAAGAAATATTCTTTACCTTAAACCTCACGGTTAATTCGCTTGGCAGACTGCTGTCGGTTATTTTACCGTAATTTTAGAATGAAAATTCTAACAGTGTGTAATTCACAACAAAAAATTCACAACTAAAACTTTAGGTTTTCTTTTTGCAAACGTGAAATTAGGTCACAAATTTAGATCAGTTTTTTTTAGTAAATATTTACATAAATGAAAATGGCTCTTGTTCAAACAATCGAATATGACTTACGTTTTCGCTAATGGCATACCCTATAACTTCTATGGAATTTCCGTAGTTTCGGAAAACACTTTCCTTGTGATAACGAGGGTAATATATTATTATTTTAATAAGAATGAAACGAATTCTGTCCACAACTACTAATAAATAATTTAAACAGGTATATAAAGGATCAGAGAGATCAGCGTTTGCATTAGGTCTTCCGCTGAACCCTAGGGTTCCGTGGAAGGGTTACAGGTCTTCTGAGAATTAAGACGCTTTTAATCAGTTGCAATTTTCGAAGCCTGTCATTAAATTTATAATTAACTAATTATCCATTATTTATTTAACATTTTCGTTATTTTTATGAAATTAATTAAAATACTTGAGAAGAAAGTAAAATTTTAAAAAAAATTTATTTTCTAATAACACTATTTTGATGAAAAGAACATATATTTATGAAAAGCATTAGTATTTCGGCTCAAATAAAAATATCAATGAAATAGTATGTTTCGCTGTATCATTCGCGACCTTTTTTCATTTTTATTTCAACAAAAACAATATTTCAGCTTTTTCATTTTCAGTTGATGCACACAATGAAATAAAATTATAGACTAAACTACGTGCCGCTACACAGTTGTAAAGTCAATTTTCTGACATAAAATCCAATTTTAAGATTGCTATTGATAAAATATGATTTTAAAAAAATTTCATACTTTATACATTCATTGAATTTTTTTACCATGATTAATAAAATTTTAATTAATAAAATTTCGATTAATAAATATTTTTAAAATAATTAATAGTCTTTCTTTTAATTGATATATTCCAATAATATATTATAATTTGAATAATATATTATAATTACTAATAAAATTTATTCATCAAGTCTAAGTCGAGGTTCCGATAAAAGCGGGCAACATAGCAAAAGAAAAAAAAGCGCTGAAACAGACAAATGATCGTGTTAAGTTCTGCTGAATGTTTCATAAAAATTTGTTTTAAAAATTTTCGCTTTAATCTATTATTACTTGTAAAACATTTCGCATAAGCTTCAAATGTTAGAGGGTTTGCCAAGTTAATTATTATTCTTTCTTCACTATTAAAAAAAATATTTAAAACGACTTTTTAATGTAATAAATTACTATTGAGTGAAAGGGATATAATAAAAATTTATTTCCATTCGCTAATTTTTGTTTAGCGTTAGCGCTTCGCACTGTCGTGGCACAGGTCCCTGGTTCGATACTCGGGCCGGGCAGGGTTGACTCAGCCTTTCATCCCTTCAGTGGGTTGATAAATGAGTACCAAGCATGCTTGGGAGCTAAACACTGGGGGCTCCGCATTCGGCTGACCACCTGTCCTTAACATCTGCTCCTGCACCCCAGAGCCTAAGGTCAAGAAAGCTGAGATGGGCACAGTAGGCCTTGGCCCTCTATGGGCTGTCGCGCCACTGAGAATAGAAGAGAATTTTTGTTTAACAAATTCAGTTTATCCATTTTACTTCGTAATGAAAATGTGCCTTTATAAAACAAGTAACTGTGTAATTTTTTTTTTCAAAAAGTTATTAAAATTATAATTTTATTTGACTTATTTAAACAGTTTTTTATCGAGATTTTCTTTTACACATTTTAAAATATATTTATAATATTATTTAAGAAAAATAAGAAAACTGGATAAAATGTTTCATAATTAGAAGTTCATGATTCAAACTATTGTTGGGGAAGGAGATAAATGACTTGCTGGGTAAAAACTGTTCTTAGTCGAATTGATTCCAAAAAATAAGCAAGTAATTAAAAACAAAACTTAATAAATGAAACTTATGTAGATTTAGATTACGACTATTCAACAAATGCTAAATATTTTTTTATACCAAAACTATCAATATTCAACACCAGTTAATATAATAATCAAAAACTTTCATTTACTTGAAATTTGAGAAAATTGGATTTCTTATTGTTGTTTGCAGTTATATTGTTTAAAACTGTCTAGACATTTTTGATGAATTTCGCTTTGTACGAAAAATCTTGTTTTTCTTAATTATTTGTAGGAATTACTATTTTTATTTTTCTTCACTCTTAACGTCTAAGAGTGTATGATGTATAATTACATTCTAAAGCATTTTGTAATTTCAATACATTTTTTTAACATTAGTCTTTTAGAATTCAAATGAACATTGGTTCATTTACTCAAATATTTAATTTTGAAAATAAGGTTTAAAAATATTTAGTAATAGCAGCCAATTCCTTCATCATAATACAGATAAATCTCATAGTTAAAAAAGCATAGAATATTTATGAAATTTGTTTTATATTTTCTTTAACTATGAAATATTTATTTCTCTTTCGTTCGTTATTATTAGTTGAAATAGTTAAATTAACGTAATAGTAACGTTAGTCAAAACATTAAATTTCGGACAGTATTTGGAATTAAAAATAAGCGCACATAAATTTAGTTCACAAAATATATGTAGGAAAATGCCTTAAATTTTATTTTAAGTTAAAATTAATTCTCAAAACATTTTTCGAAAATTTTATAATTTACTTGATAATCAAAGTGCTATAAGATTAATCGTGCAGCTTTAATGTAAAAAAGAAAAACTCAACTCTTTTCACTGATATAAATTTCAATTGCACAACTAATGTTATTTTTGTTACAAAACTATTTTTGTTTTATCTACTTTCAGTAATATTTTTTTTTTAATTCATGAATATAATGGCTACAAAAATACACTGATTTTAAAACTTATTTCATTTCTTTTCAGGTTTATTTTGAATTTAAGTATGTTGCATAAGCTCAGCGAATAGGATTGTTTATAAAGTTTTCAGGTAAGAAATTTAACATTTGTTAATGACCTACTCTGAACTTTTAAATTATTATTGATTTCCTACGATTTGAAGTTAACTTAGTTCAAAACTTAAAACTTTCGAAGATCAGTACTAGAATCGCAACAATTAGAACCATTTTGCACTGTCAGAGAAATTTGCTTGATTCCAGATCCAGTTAGCCAAGCGTTAGATCCTATGGGTTTTAGTAAATAAATTTTTGTTCTTATGTAAATTACTTAGACAAATATTTATAATTGAGGAGAAAAAATTACTGCTTGAAATTATTAAAAATTATTATCCATAATATCCATATATTATGGGAATTATTTTAAGTCATAAAATTACATTAGAACATTTTTGAGTTGAACTGTTGAAAAAGAGCATCAATTATTGAAAAAAAAAGCACGGACAATTTTTCAAACTGTTAAAACATCTATGTTAACAAATGAAATAGGGATAAATAATCTGTTGATTAATAAATTCTAAAACTAAATTTATTTAGCTAACTTTCAAAATGTGAATTAAAAAAAAGATTATTCAAATGAATTTAATATAAAAGTAATTCGTGAATATTGAATAAAGTATCTTTTTGTTATTATATACTTATCTAGCTCTTTTCTTTTGATAGTTTCGCAATTTCACCTTTTTGTACAAATGTATTGGGAAAATTAAATTTTTCAACTCTTATATGATATAAAATGTTATTTTGAATGAAATACTTTTAAATCATATCGTACTTTTTAAAAAAATAGATATAAGCAATTTAAATTGAACATTTATTTAGTAATACTAATTTCCTGGAATTCGGTAAAAATGTAGAGGAAGTTGCGGTAAAAGTATGACTTTCAGAAAAATCTATTGGAGTCGAACATTTTAACAACCGATTTCACAACCCTGGTTGGATCACCAACCACTTGCGGCAGAATTTGCCCCCAACTACAGGAATCTGGGTAAAGGTCCAGTAACTAGTATTTTTTTAAGCTGAATTTTTTAGAAAAATGTTCTGTAGGAGAGTGTTTTCCACGTTTCAAAATGTTCTCCGTGAAAAATTCAAGTGTCTGTCAAATTGGCACTACGTTCTCGACCCCTTGTTTTTCTTGCTAGTGCCATTCCTGCGACACTAATAGATAAATAAAAAAGAAATTAAAATGATTAACGTTCTGTGACGATGCCTTTTACCTCAAAGGAAAAAAAATATTTAAACTCTGATCAAATGCTTTTGATGTTTCAAATTAAAATTACTACTAAAAGGTAAATACAGAAGCATCACAAGCAATGTCAGTTTTCACATTGCTCGAACATAAGATTTTTAATTTTTTGCCGATGATTACGATTGGTTGCGATTACAATTACGATTGGTGTAGAAAATGAATTTTTAAACACTCAATTAATAACGTACGGATACATTTAAAAAGATTATTCGTACAAAAAACAAATCAGACTAGAAAAATATTTTCAAGACTTAAAAATTTCAAGAAAAAAGAAGCTGGTTTAGCTAACCATTTAGAAGAAATAAACTTTCTCTAGACTTTTTCCATTTAACTCCAACGCCATTTTTTCCTGCCCCTGCAATAAAATTTCTTTTATTTTTCTTTCTGTTCCGGAGCGTGAGTTTTGAAGATGTTTTTGGGATAAGAAAAATTGACCTGGAAAAGAGGATTTTTAACCCGAGAAAGATTAAACATGCCATGTCTGGTTTTTTAAGGTTGCCTTCTTGGATCCAAAACTCTTTTCTGCGAATCACATTTTCTATCTTAAAAAAAGAAACTTATTGAAGTTTAACTTGAATAAAACTCAAACACTATCCAAAATACAATAACGTGTCCTCAAATAAGTATTGTCTTTTCAATCTTCTGTTTGGTGGAATTCTTGTTTTGTATCCCGAGAGTCTTGGATTTATTTCAAGAAAAGGAGACTTTGCCTTTCTTGCGTTTACCTTGCAGTCTGAGAACTCCTTTGGCTTATTGCTTTTCAGGAATTCTGAATAATGGAGCTTTTGTACACGCGAAAAAACTCTTGCTTTGCGTTCGATTGCGGTCTGGATAACTTTAAGATCAGTTTTAAAACCTTTTAAACTGTTTTTTAGTAAAAAACATTTCAATAACATTTACTTCTTGTTTATGATTTTATAACAAATGTCTACATATGTATATAACTTAGTTACATATTATTTATTTTAATTACAAGCAGGGAAGTATCCATGGTCATAAAATAACCATAGATTCGTCTACAATTAGAAACTAGAGAAAGATTGGAATTATAACAATTAGAAAAAAAATAGATAATTTACTTCAGAATTATCTATCAAGGAGATATTTAGTTTTTTTAAGAACTCTTTTAACACTTTGAATGCCATGCTAATTTTACCTGGCTTACCCGTCTCGCCAAAATGATTTTCTCGGTATGTATTGCATTAATTTCTTCAAACCATTTTAGTAACGATAGTAATATTAAAAAAATTAAAAGCATTAAAAATTTACTCGAATTGTGTGTTTCGAATAATCTTGGCTTAGCTGGTCACCGGTGACCCCCGTGGCGCTACGAATAAACCCAGTGTCGGTCACCGGTGACCCCCATGGCAGTCAACGTGTTAATGCATCGGTTACCGATTTTTTTTTGCTGCTAAGGAACCCTGAATAATTGACCTTATTCCGACGGAACCCTGACTTTATAAAGTTTAAGGCAATTATTAACTTTATAATCTATAAAAGACTATATTTGATTAGAGGAATGAAAATTCTTAATTTTATCATTAATAATCTTAAATTAGGTTTTATTCCCGATAATTTAATCTTCAGTCCTTATACTATATCCAGAGATGCCAACTGCTTAAGATACAACAAAATATTTTTAAAAGCGATAGAGAACTACAATCTAAAATGTGCAAATTTTTTGTTAGTTTTGCCAATTGGCGTATTATATAAAACCTTTGCATTATTTAGAAGTAGTAGTAGTAAGTAAAATCCCTATAAATCGAATTTACTAAATCAAGAATCATACATTAAAAGACTTCTACTCGAAAATATTTATCCGCTGTCTGGAGCAAATCGGCATCTCTGTATATCTAGTCTAGTTATGAATTTGTTTTTGGTTCGTATGCATAAGCTGATAAAAGATTAAGCCGAATTATGATTTACTTCGAAATGAGAACTTAAAAGAACTATCATAAATGTTAAAAATTATTAAAATGCAAACATATTTCTTTATTGAAGAATTTAGTTATTTTGATTTGAAAAGCGCAATATGAAATACAAATGGAATATTTTATAAACACTTATTTTCTTCATAATTTGTTCAATGTTTCAGAATTGTTATTAGAAATTTTGTATTTTCCTTTAAAATATGCCATTTTTATTTCATTGGTATTTTCTTGAAATAATATCGTGAAGACAATGGTGAGATTGTGAATTATAAGTTTGATCTAAATATAGTCAAAAGTTTCATAACTCATCACTGATTATAAAAAGTGCTAACTCGTGGAACCCCTTAACTCTTCCACGGAATCCTAAGGTTCCGTGGAATACTATCTGGAAACCTCTGCTCTAACGTATCTAAAAAAAATGTTCAGAAGTATAACTGTGATTTTCGCCATCAGATTTCTTCCTCTCGGTTTTTGGTGGAAAACATTTTTTTTCTTCTCAAAGCTAAAACTTCAAGATACTCGTATGAGTTTTGTGCGAAACTTTTTTAGTGTTAGGGAATGAAAGCGCAAGATTTAAAACAAATAAAATTCTTATGAAACTTTCAGCAAGAGTTTTGAGTATAACCAATTCTCTATCTGATCTTCATTTTATCTGCTTAAATTTTTACATGCAGTGGTGAACGAAGTTCTTTTAATTCTAATATACTAAAATATTTATACATTACCTTTCTTGCTACTACAAAATTTATTTTTTGAAACTACGGAAATTCCGTAATAGTTTGCTTAACTTACTGTATTAACTTACTGTATTACTTATGCAAGTAACCGAACGTAGACTATCTTATTTATTTCATGAATCACGTGACGTTCTTATCGCGTGAGGATTAAATTTGCCCATGCAATGAATTTTAAGACACTCTATATAATGAATCTAACCATAAAATGTTTAAATTTTGGTTTCAATAAACTATATGAAATGATACAGTTCTCTAAATATTTTGTTCAACGATCGTTTTCAGATTCGAATTCCCTTACAGTATTTTTAGTTCTTAAAAACAAATCAATGATTTTCATTCATATCCCTTGTCATATCTTTTAGTAAGAAAAGAGAATTCATTTTCAGTTTTCTTCTTAATTAAGTTTGCGCATTATAAAAACTCCGATGAATTGAGTTTCTCAAGTAATCAATTTGTCGGCGAAAATAAATTAGCCCTAAAACATTTGTTGGTTTCTTTTATTTATTTTTTTAAAAAAGATAAAAGTAAAAAAATTTCAAAGGTTTTTTTTGTTTTCTTTTTTAAACATCTTCTAATTACCAATTTCAGTACAAATTCTTTTTTGCGTTCATTTTTAATGGTTCTTTTAATTAACGATTGTTTATTATTTACGTTGCATAGCAATATAAATAAAGTTATGAAAATAAAATTTTTAAATTTTTAAATCAAATATATATTTTTCCAGGTTCTTTGCAAAGAAATATTTTTAAAGCACTCGTTCGCTAATTGCCCTTTCCAAATGAAAAAATATTTTTAAAAATCTTTTTAAGCTAACACAATTTATCGTTTGAATTCGCTTAATTTTTATTTTCAACAAAATTGTTAGATATATTAAGTCTAAGGCATTGATGTTCTCAAGGCCATTGTATTTAGTGCCATAAAAACTTAATTAATTTCATTTTTTCTCCTTTTTATTAAATTTTATTTTTTCTTATTGCTTTTAAATTTCAATTAATTACGAATTCATTAATACTTACTGTTTTTAGTTAACATTTTAAAAGGTTAAATAAGATTTGAATAGTTAATAAGAGTTGGTTAGATTCTAATAGTTAAGTTTTTTAATATTTAGTTAATAATAGTTA